TTGAACCCAGGAGGCAGAGGTTGCAGTGAGTGGAGATCGCACCACTGCACTGTAGCCTGGGTGACAGAGTAAGACTCTGTCCCCCCACAAAAAAAAAAAAAAAAAAAAAAAAAAAGACTCACTTGCAGCTTTGACCTTCTGGGCTCAAATGATCCTCCTGCCCCAACCTTCTGAGTAGCAACCTCCCCCACCCGCCCCCACCCCCCCGAGTTCAAGCAATTCTCCTGCCTCACCCTCCCAAGTAGCTGGGATTACAGGCATGCACCACCATGCCCAGCTAATTTTTGTGTTTTTAGTGGAGACGGGGTTTCACCATGTTGGCCAGGCTGGTCTTGGACTCCTGACCTCAAGTGATCCGATCCACCCACCTCAGCCTCCCAAAGTGCTGGGAATACAAGTGTGAGCCACTGTGCCCAGTCATAATTTTTAAATTTTTTTATAGATATAGGGTCTCACTATGTTGCCCAGGCTGGTCTTGAACTCTAGGGCTCAAGTGATCCTCTAACCTCAGCCTCCCAAAGTGCTGGGATCACAGGCATGAGCCATGGTGCCTGTCCTAGAGCTCAATTTTAAATAGGATCAACCAGGTAAAGGCAGAGGAAGTGAGGGCCCCTTAACCTCTTCTCCAAGATAAGCTATTTGTCTCATTGAAACTTTCTCTTCAATCTTACAGTTACCATTGTGTGTTTCCTGTAGGCCCTTCTCCAGATTCTCCAAGTTGATCCCAAGAACCTTTTCACTGAGCCCAGAATTGACTCACAGTATCCATCCCAATTCCCCTTTCTCTTAAAAAGGAGAAGCTGGAAAACTCAAGTACTAAATTTCCCAGCCTCTCTTGCACAGATAGTGGCCATGTGAACCAGTTCTGGCAAGGAGCTGCAGGCAGAGGTCCCCAGGGAGGGCTTTGGGTCTCTGACCCTGGAGATGTAGCAGCCATCTCTCCAAGCATGCTAAGACTGGCAGAGCAGCATTGTAGGACTCTGATTTCTTAAGGGGATCTCTGATCAGCTACACAGCCCTGAAATAGGTCTATCTCTGAACTTGTCATGTGAAAAAAAATAAGTAAAATAACTTGCAACCCCACCCCCAAGTCTATTTAAGTCACTGTGGGAATTTTGTTTTTTAACTTACAAACAAATATTTCTACCTGATATTCTGAGTACTAGATTAACCAAATAAATGAGACATATATAATAGAGGTGAGTAAATACAAACTGAGCAGGAATGCTCACAGAGCTCCTACGACCCAAAACAGGGCATCTTGAATCAATTCTTTTTTTCAGATGTTTCAACTGTTAATGCTTCCATCCAGTGAAAATGCTGTGGAAATAAAAACTTCATTCATTCTTGAAATTAATTTATCCATGACTTCAAGGACTGACTGCCTTTGGTCTTTTTTTTTTTTTTTAATCGAAGTAATAGATACTCAATAATGGGATTCGTTCCCTGAACAGAATCTAACTCAGGCTGTAGCCATAAAAGCACAGAAGCTTAGCTACTAGACCACAGGCTGGAGTGTTTTGTTTTGTCTCTTTTCCCTTCTCTCTCTTCTTGCCCTTTCATACATGTTTTTGGGGCCCCATAATGTACCAGACACTGTGGCAACCACTGGGAGTAAAATAGCCAACAAAACGAGACTCAATCCCAGACTCCATGGACCTTATACTCTAATGAGAGGGATAGACATTTATCTAATAATCACACACAACATACAACATTTCATATAACAACTTGCATTCTAGTAAATGCTGGGAGGAGAGATTCTCAGGGTACAATTGGAACCTATGACAGGGGTTGGCCTGGTCAGGAAGGTCAGGGAAGCCTTCCCTGAGAATTTGATGACTTAGCTGCGAGCTGAATGGTGAGTAGGAATTAATGAGTGGCTAAAATGGGGAACAGTTTTCCAGGCTCTGACAGTGTGTGCAAGTGCCATGTGGAGGAGTTTGAGGGGCCAAAATGAAGGGTAGGGTAGATGGAGAGGAAAGAGTAAGGGGTGAAGGAATGTTAATTAGGCTGCAGAGTTAAGTGATGGTCAGATCAGGCAGGGCGCAATGTAGGCTATATTAAGAACACCATCCCAACAGCAATGGGATGTCATTGAAGGGTCTAAGCAAAAATGTGACATGGTTAAATATGTGATGTCTTGCAAATTCAGTTCATCAAAATCCTAGTATTCTAAAACATTTTAAAATATACTCAACACATACATTAATCCCCAATATTCCTTAATCTGCCCACCCTCATTTCCAACAACTGTGGTGACATGGGATTGTACAAGGAATTGGCTTCATATACGTAATTCATAGTCAATACATTTTGTGTTTACCTTCATGGGAAAAATGCTGGCTCAAAGAATTAGTTGACTCAGTTGGGATGTATTCTTCCATTTGCTGGAAAAGTTTGTGTAAAATTGTTATTACTTCCTTAATGTTTGTTAGAAATCCTCAATGAAGCTATCTGGGCCTGGATTTTTTTCTTTATGGGAAGATTTGTAACTATAAATTCAATTTCTTTAAAAGAGTTTTTTAGGGTATCTATTTCTTGGCTGAGCTTTCGTAGTTTGCATCTTCAAGGAATTTTTCTGTTTAATTTGCCAAATACACTGATACAAAGTGTTCAAAATGTTCCCTTTTAACAACTGTAGAATCTGTAGTATTATCACCTCTTGTTACCTATACTGATAATTCGTCTTCTCTATCTCTTTCCTGATCAGTCGGCCTAGAAATTTATCAAACTTACTTAGCTTCTGAAAGAATCAGCTTTTGGTTTCATTGATTTTCTCTATTGTATTTCTACTGTGTTTTATTTTATTTTATTTTTTGAGACGGAGTCTTGCTCTGTTGCCCAGGCTGGAGTACAGTGGCATGATCTCTGCTCACTGCAACTTCCCCTTCCTGGGTTTAAGCTATTCTCCTGCCTCAGCCTCCCAAGTAGCTGGAATTACAGGTACGTGCCACCAAGCCCAGCTAATTTTTTATATTTTTAGTACAGACGGGGTTTCATCATCTTGGCTAGGCTGGTCTTGAACTCCTGACCTCATGATCCACTCTCCTTGGCCTCCCAAAGTGCTGGGATTACAGGCATAGCCACCGCACCCGGCCTACCTTTTCTTTTGATTTCTGCTCTCATATTTCTTTTTTTTCTACTTACTTTGGACTAGACCACCACCATTTTTTGCTCCCCACTCTTCTCCTTCAAGGACTGCAATTATACACCATGCATTTGGCTGCCTGAAGTTGTCCCACCCTTTAGTGATGCTCTTTTTATTTTGGTAGGAGGTGTGCGTCTTATTTTGTTCTTTTTACTCTCTGTTTCAGGGAGGTTCTACTGCTATGTCTTCAAGTTCACTAATCTTTCTTTCTGCAATATCTTATCTGCCATTAATCTCATGTAACATATTTTTCAATCTCAGACATTGGAGTTTTCATCTCTAGAAGTTTGATATGGGTCTTTTTATACCTTCTCTGTAATATCTTCAGTCTTTCCTCTGGTTTCTTGAATATATGGAATATAATTATAATAACTGTTTTAATGTCCTTGTCTAATAATCTTCATCATCTGTAATTTCTGAGTCAGTTTTGACAGAATGTTTTATTTTATTTTTTGTTTGTTTTGAGACGGAGTCTTGCTCTGTTGCCTAGGCTGGAGTGCAGTGACACGATCTCACTGCAACCTCCACCTCTTGGGTTCAAGCGATTCTCCTGCCTTAGCCTGCTGAATAGCTGGGACTACAGGTGAGTGCCACCACACCCTGCTAATTTTTGTATTTTTAGTAGAGACAGGGTTTCACCATGTTGGCTAGGCTGGTCTCGAACTCCTGACCTCAGGTCATCCACCTACCTTGGCCTCCAAAAGTGCTGGGATTACAGGTGTGAGCCACCGCACTCAGCCTAGAATGTTTTATTTTTCTTATTATGGGTTGTATTTTTCTGTTGCATGCCTGGTAATTTTTGATTGGATGCCAGCCATTGTGAATTTACTTTGTAGATTATTTTCATATCCCTAAAACAGTTTGAACTTTCTTCTGGAGTATGATTAAGTTATTTGGACACGGTTTGAATGTTTTTGGGTCTTGCTTTTAAGCTTTGTTAGGTTATTCTAGAGCATTTAGTCAAGGGATATTTTTTCCCACTACTGAAGCAAGACCCTTCTTAGTACTCTAACTGGCACCTTGTGAATTATGACCTTTTCCACTTTTGCTGATGGGATCAGGAATCATTCACCATCCTGTGTGAGCTTTGAGTATTGTTTCCTCTAATCCTTTCTGATGGTTCTTTGCCAAGCCTTTGGTTATTTCCTCTCATGCATGTACTGATCATTTAGCTTAATACTTTAGAGGAATGGTCAGCAGGTCTCTGGAGTTCTCTCTGTGTCGCTCTGTCCTCTCTAGTATTCTACCCTGTGAACTCTAGTTGCCTTGGGTTCTCAGGACTCCCACCTATATCTCCTCACTTCATGGAGTCTTCTGGGTTCCCTTTCCCCATGCCAAAGCCTTTCTTCAGGCAGCAAGTTGGAGCAATTATATTGTGCATCTTGTTTGCATTCCATCTCTCATGGCTCACTGTCCTTCACAGCCTATGTCCAATGCCTTCAGGGCCATTGTTTCATATATTTTGCCCATTTAAAAAAGTATTTGGACGTTTATAATTACTTTCTACTTAAATTTACTAGCTGTCACAATCATTACTGAAGAAATTCACTCTTGCAATAATATACATATGTACTTCAGTTGACACAGAATTTCAACATGTAAAGCATATAAGAATTTCTTGCCACAATCATGTTTAGAATGCTTACCTATATTATAAGGGGAATATTAAAATGTTAGTAAATACAATGACTTTTTTCAGATTAGACATGATAAACAGCCTGCAAGGTTACTTGACTATTGGTCACACAGAATTTCAGACAGATCAGAACCAGTGTCAAAATAGGTATTTGTCCTTTTGGCTTTTTAAAGGTCAAGGCTGAATCAAAGGTAAATGAAAATATTGCATGAATATGAAGCTAAAATTGAATTTTATTAACACACACAACAATAGCATTAGGTAAACAGAGATAGGTGGATAGACAGACTGTCTCAGTTTCTTTTTAATAATTGAGTTTTTTTTTTTAAATCAAAGCTTTACACATAATTTAAAAACTCAAAGGTAACAAAACCTGATATGAAAAACTCCCACACCACCATGATGAAGCAGCTATTCTGCAGGTGTTTTGCCCTCATTCTGTGTGTCCACTTTCAATTCCAAATGGGCTTATATGACCAAAGAGATGCAGGACCTAACCAACATGTACCAACAGGAACCATGAGCACGGGTATGGAACTGGGTCCTGAGGGTGCTGGGTAAGAATTAAGTTTGTGTTTATATAGGACAGCAGTATCCATTTATAGTATTGCCCTAGGGTTATGTTAACTATTCCACACTGCATCATAATCCAAAGAGATCTAGACCATCTGAACATCCCACATAATGTCACAATGACCTACCACATTGATGACATCATGCTAGCTGGGTGAGGTAAATAATAAGCAGCTAGCATACTGTACACTGGAGGATGGGAAATAATCCTTAAGACCCAGCAAGCTGTTACATCAGTGAAATTTTTAGGGCCCAGTAGGCTGCTTGAATGCCAAGATATACCCTTCACAGTAAAGGACAAATTACTGCTTCTCACCCACTCATTTCACCAAAATTATTCTGCCACCAAGGAAGCATACCAAGTTGTGTAGGCCTCTGTGGGAATTCAGAAGTTGGCAATACTGTTCTGACTTGTAAACTGGGTGAGATAGAAGTCTGCCAGTTTTCAGTGGGATCCATAGCACGTAAAAGTTCTCTAGCAGGTATGGTGTATTTAGCCCTGTTGCATGGACCAATTCAGGATATTCTATGGGACGAGTAAATGAGATAAGAAACCATGGAAGTTGATGGCAAGCTCCAATGGGAGAATCACAAGGTCAATTCCTGGCATTCTGTGGCAAGGCTGGGCCATCTGCAGTGCAAACCCCCAAAAACAACTTATCCATACTAATGTGCCTTGGTAAGAACTGATTATGGACATCAAGTGACGATGTAGCCAGAGATGCCCATCATGAGCTGGGCACAGGCAGGTGGTCAGGCTCCCATGTCATATCTGATTCTTTACCGATGTCCCTTCCTCAGCTCACAATTATGGCCATTTGGGAGGCTCTCATGTCTAGCTTATGGAGGACAAAAAAGCCTGAGCTGAATTCACTGCGTTTTCTTGGAATACAGGTTCAAAACTAAAATGGACTGCTACTGCCCTACAGGCCCACACAGGACAGGCCTTAAAAGACAGCAGTGAGGAGAACCCTTCCAAACGACATAATGTGGGGCAGTATTCCTGGTCATCAACTTTGTGTGGAAAGAAACTGTCTTGAAGTAAAACATATTTTCATGACAAATGGCAAATAAGTTGGCCAGTTGATCAGGGGTCTGGAATAAGACTGGCATATCAAGGACAAGAAGTCTGGAGAAGCAGTGGAGAAATATATGACATATGGCACATAAGGAGGGGTTTGGTATTGTATAACAGAATCTTTACCTGCCAGAGACAATCCAACATGTAAGCAGCATTAAATAACCAAGTAGACAGATTTAGCCAGTTAACTTCAGCAGCTACAGCCATCAGCTCCACCGTCTCCTCCCTCTGCCCCCAGGAATGGCATAGGGGGCTCATGACAAAGTAGTCATCTTGCAGGAATGCAAGTGAGCAAGAGGCCAATAGACAGCCTCCACTTATCCAATAGCTACTCCCCAGGCCGGGTGCGGTGGCTCACGCCTGTAATCCCAGCACTTTGGGAGGCCAAGGTGGGTGGATCACCTGAGGTCTGGAGTTCAAGACCAGCCTGCCCAACATGGAGAAACCTGTCCCTACTAAAAATACAAAATTAGCTGGCCGTGGTGGCGCATGCCTGTAATCCCAGCTACTCGCCAGGCTGAGGCAGGAGAATCCCTTGAACCCAGGAGGCAGAGGTTGCGGTGAGCCAAGATGGCGCCACTGCACTCCAGCCTGGGCAATGAGTGAAACTCCATCTCAAAAAACAACCAAAAAACCAGCCACTCCCCAATGTTAAACACCAAGTTCCCGATACAGCCCCAACCCTCAAGGATAACCAACAGCTACTTGGGCAGCAAGCTGACTTATGTTGGATTCCTTCCATCCTAGAATGGGCAGTGATTCTCCTTGACTAGAAACTGCCCATCTGCATTTATGAGTTTTGACTTCCTTGCCTATAAGTTGTTGGCCAGCTCTACTATTCAAAGGTTTACAGGTATTTGATCCATCAACATGTATCCTGTGTAATATTGCCTTTGATTTAGGGACCCACTTTACAGCAAAGGAGGTGTGTCAGCAGGTACATAACCATGCGATCCACTGGTCCTATCACATACTATACAACCTAAAAAGTGCTGGCCTGATGGAAAACCCTTTTGAAAGTGAAAATGAAGCAAAAGCTTGAAGATAATAGCCTGTGAAATGGAATGACCCTGTCCACCAGGGTACCGCATATACTCTAAATCAATACTCATTGTATGGTGCTGTGCCTCATATATACATAGCATGCATGTTTGGGGATGGAAGGATATAAATAGAATTCCCACTGTGTAGTAGGCTGAATAATGGCCCCCAAATGTGTTCAGATCCTCATACCTGGATTCTACAAATATTTTACCTTCATGATAAAAGAAACTTTGTGGATATGACTAAGTTAATGACCTCAAGATACAGAGATTATCCTTGACTATCCAATGGGCCCAATATAATCATAAAGATTCTTACAAGGGAGAGGCAGGTTTGCTTAGTAGATGCAATGACTTAAGCAGGAGGATGGGGTGATATGAGTAATGGGCCATAGCCAAAAAATGTACGTAGCCTCTAGAAATTGAAAAAGGCAAGGAAACAGACTTTTTCTTGAAGCCTTCAGGAAAAGCAGTCCTGTTGATACCTTGATTTTAGGCTTCCAGAACTGTAAGAAAATAAATTTGTGTTGTTTGAAACCACTAAGTTTGTCATAGCACAATAGGAAATTAATATAACCACATACTCTTACTCCCAGTGACCCATGTGAGAAGTTTGTACTTCTCATCCCCACAACTTTGAGTCTAGAAGTCCTGATTCCCAAGAGAGGAATCTTTTCATCAAGAGACACAATAATAGATCCTTTAAACTTTAACTTGCTGAGGTTTCCCAGTTCAGGGTCCTTGTGCCAGGAGACCAGCAGGCAAGGAAAAGTCACCATGTTAGTTGGGGTAATTGAATCCAATTATCAGGAGGAAGTAGCGTTATTGCTACACGATAACGGAAGGAAGGAATGTACCTGTATTTTACATTCAAGGTATAGTGGTCTCTTGATACGTCCCAATATCAAGTAAAATGGACAACTTCCAAAACAGCAGGGTAAACATCTCCAAATATCGGCTCCTCTATAAAAGCAATGAGAACACGGGCAAAAATGGTCAGTCAACTTTTTCAGAACTCTACAAAGTAACTAAAAGCTTGAAATAATCTGAGGTGCCTTTATTCGAGAAAACCAGCTAAATCTTGGTAAACAGGGAAGCATTTTAACTTGCCTTATTCCCAGCCCCCACTTCTAATACAATGACAAATAGTAATGATGACAGTGAGCAACCTTACCTTACTCTTAACTTTAGGGAGAATGCTTCCAGTGTGTCTCACCATTAAGTGATACGCTGTCCTTTGTTAAGCAGTATCCAGAGTCCTATTATATTGTTGGCTTATCCGTTTCCCACTGCACTCTAGTGTCACTTTTCTAATGAATCAAGTGACCCTATATGTGTGGAGTTTTTCTAGACTTTCTGTTCTGTTCAGCCTCCCACCATGCCAGGCTAATTTTTTGTATTTTTAGTAGAGATGGGGTTTCACCACGTTGGCCAGGCTTGTTTCAAACTCCTGACCTTAGGTGATCTGCCCACCTCGGCCTCCCAAAGTGCTGGGATTACAGGCGTGAGCCACCGCGCCTGGCCTGGGACTGGTAGCTTCATAGAGAGAGGAGGAAAGGCCTGAGTGGGCATGCTCAGCCCCTTCACCATATGATTCCCTGCAGTCCCCATCAGCAACAAGGCTCTCCCCAGATGTGGTCCCTCCACCTTGAAGTTCTCAGTCTCCTCCCTAACTGCAAGAAATGAATTCCTTTTCTTTATAAATTACCCAGTTTCAGGTATTCTGTTATAAACCACAGAATACAGACTAGGACACTACCCTTCCTACCAGTATCCCTATCTTCCACTTGAAGAAAATACATATTAGTAGAAAATACATATTAGTGAAGGGGTTAAATCCAAGTGCACGTTTCCTACTGCTTCCTCCCACTAAGGAAGCTAGGGTGCAGATACATAATCCAGTAAGCTTGACCAATTGGATGATGATATAGTTTGGATCTCCCCTGCACATCTCATGTTGAGATGTAATTCCCAGTTAGAGGTAGGGCCTGGTGGTGTCTGGGTCATGGGGACTGATCCCTCATGGCTTGGTGCTGTCCTCACCGTAGTGAGTTCTCATGAGATCTGATTGTTTAAAAGTGTGTGACACCTACCCCCACCCCCTTGCTCCTGTTTTTGCCATGTGAAATGCCTGATCCTACTTCACCTTCTGCCATGAGCAAAAGCTTCCTGAGGCCTCCCCAGAAGCAGATGCAGGCACTAGGCTTCCTGTACAGCCTGTAGAACCGTGAGCCAATTAAACTTCTTTTCTTATAAAGTACTCAGCCTCTGGTACTTAGAGCAATGCAAGAATGGCCTAATATAGATGGTCTCTCCTGTGACTTGAAATCTTGAGGAATAATGAAAATAACCCCTTAATAAATTCCTTTCTTGCTTAAGATAACCCAGAAGAATCAGTTTCTATTGTAGGAAAAAAAGACTTCATTAATGCAAATGTCAAGAGAAAATTCAAACTAATTTTTACACATCCTTCCTCTAAACGTTTTGAAAGCTACTAAAAGGCTTTCTGAGCTGTTAAATCTGAAGGATTTATAACAGATTGTTATTTTCGAACACAGGTATTCTATATATACAGTTTGTATGTTTGTGTGAATACACACACACACACTCATGAACCACACTGTTTATGCAGACTCAATGTAAATGTACACCTGAGTTGTGCAACATTCAAATCAATGCAGAAATCAAGCAAAGATTAGATTCAGTTAATTGTAGTTATTTCTTGGAAACACTACCTATTTTTTGAGACAGGGTCTCACTCTGTTGCCCAGGCTGGAGTACAGTGGTGTGATCTTGGCTCACTGCAAGCTCTGCTACCCAGGCTCAAGTGATCCTCCCACCTCAGCCTCCTGAGCAGCTGGGACCACAGGCGTGTGCCACCACGTCCAGCTACTTTTTTTTTCCCCCTCAAGACAGAGTCTCACTCTGTCACCCAGGCTGGAGTGCAGTGGCACCATCTTGGCTCACTGCAACCTCCACCTCTCAGGTTTAAGCAATTCTCCTGCCTCAGCCTCCCAAGTAGCTGGGATTACAGGTGCCCGCCACCACACCTGATTAATTTTTGTATATTTAATAGAGATGTGGTTTTGCCATGTGGGCCAGGCTGATCTTGAACTCTTGACTTTGTGATCCGCCCGCCTCAGCCTCCCAAAGTGCTGGGATTATAGGTGTTAGCCACTGCGCCCGGCCCACACCCAGCTATTTTTACAATTTTTTTGTAAAGATATAGTTTTGCCTTGTTGGCCAGGCTCGTCTTGAACTTCTAGGCTCAAGCGATCCACCCTCCTTGGCCTCCCAAAGTGCTGGGATTTCAGGCATGAGCCACCACACCCAGCTGGAAATATCTTTTATCTTAAAAATTCCTAAGCATCCTATCAATTACCTCATTACTATAAATTTAATTTTAATGTAATATTTTAACACAGTTGCCAGGATCTTATTCAAACCTTCATTTTATAGGTGGAAAAAGAGAGCTCACGCAGGGGTGTCCAAGGGAGAGAATATAGTCTTGGGTTCTTAGTTTCCGTTTCTGGTTGGGCCAGTAAATACTTCCTCATCCCTCTTTTCTGCTTATCACTAGAAACAGAAGCTAAAAACCATGGCTTCAAACTGTTAAAAGCCTAAAACAAAACAGAACAACAGTAACAAAATAAGGTGGGCTGGACAAGCTTGGCAGAGAGCCTGCTTGGAGAAGCTGTATGAAAAGGATAAGAAAGACTCTGCCACCACTCCTGAAGGTTCTCGGCCCAAGATGGAATTTAGTCTCAGAAACTCTTATACTAATAAAATTTGTACATCAAATTAAGATCAGCAACAGTTAAAACATTAATAAAGACTGAAGCATTTGTTCACTTAAAACAATTTTATTTAATATTTAGTATATTTACTTTTAAAATAAAAATTAAAGGAAAGCCCATGAACTTATTTTCCATGAACATAATACAATAGTAGTCACCTATCTCCTCTACCCAACTTGTGTTTTAGGAGTCCTTTTGGATCTTTTCCCCCATAATGGCCTCTCTCTTTTTGCTTTACAGTGCAGTCTAACAGATATGTTGAGTAGCTAATTTATATCTCTGAAGATCTCCACAGAACTCTTAAATTCTAAGTCTTCATAGTCTTTGCACCTTGCCAAGTTTGCTTTCCTTTGGGAATTTCGTCATAACCACAAGGTTATTCCCCAGATATGCAGTTTGGGGAAATTAACCTGGCAGTAGTAAACAGACTGGATTAGAAAAGGTGGCAATCGTAATGAGGATATTGCAATAACCGGGGAAAGCTACAGAAGGATCTTGAGTTAGGATGATGACAGTTACAATAGAAAGGAGACCAGTACAAGAGACAGTGAAAACAGAATGGATACAATTTAGTCGAAGAATTGGCTGTGGGTGAAAAGAAGAAATCAAAGATGCCCGAAGTTGTGAGTTTCAGGTAGCTCTGGGTTTATAATCCTAGTTCTGACTCGCACTATCTTTAGATATACTCGCTGCTGACTACTAACTGAACAAGGTAGTAACCCCGTCATCTTGTAACTTACCTAAGTCTCAGTTTCCTCCTCTGTAAAACAAACTACCAAAATAAAGCTGACGAAAAGATTGAAGTAACATATAAAACCCTTAGGACAGTGCCTAGTATCCATTAAGCAGCAGATAAATGGCGGTCATTGTTAGGGAGTAGGGTAAACGATAAGAACAGAAAGTTAAAAAAATGAGTAGCAGCACGGACTTTTGCGTGGGGATTCGATCTTTCTACTACACGTTACACATACCTCTAAGCAGAGAAAGGGGTTGGAGGGGAGTTTGATAACGTGACTAATAATCCTCCTCCCCTTGGGGGGGAATCTTGATAAAGTATAGCCACCCACATGGAGGACTAATATAAACTGGATTGCAGAATGCACTTGGGCTGGGCGCTCAAGTGGGCCAGGCTTCTTGATTCCTATTTTATCCCCCTTAAACTAGGATAGCAAGGTCTAACTTACACTTTCATTTGCTGCTGAAGTTTCGGAACAGAAAGATAGCCAGATCATATTAATTACATGGATAGGCAAGAAAGCATGAGCCCTGAGGAGGAAGGAAAGGACTGTCCAGGTGTACTTACCTCAAAGATGAGAAATATCAGACAGGAAACCCTAGGTTCTTGCCCTTCAGTCGCTATCTCCTTGCCATTAGTAAAATGCGGCCGATGAATGTCCTCACTTCTGGACATCCCCATCTGGGCAGGAGGTGGGAAGGGTGATGTGCAAATGGATGGGAAGAACCTTTTTCTCGGCAGTGCCCACCACACGCAGCCCAGTGCCACGCACCGCAAGCGCTCCATAAACGCACACAGCGTCGCCCCTACCAGAATCCCGGGCGGCCTTCGCGGCATTTCTCCTGGCGTCGGCTTTCAGACTCCCGCGGGTGGGATAGGTCGAGAGGGCGGTATCTTTTGGCTTTTCTTCTCCCTAGACGCTCTGAACCATGTTTATGCAACGTTTAATGGGCTCTAATAAAACGCCTAATATTTTGCCCAGCGGAAGCACCTACCCCTTCGTTAAGCCGACTCTGCGAGGGTGAAGCTGCAACCCCAAGGCCGGAAAACGCGGCTATCGAAAAGTGCGGCTACCGAAAAGCGCATGCGCCACGGGGTGGCATGAAGCTAGAGAAACCCGCGGAGGTGGGCGGAAACCATGGCAACCCTGCGGGATGACGACGTGGTGACCGTCCCTAGCGCTGGATTATGACGCAGGCAGTGGGCGCGGACTCTGCGGTTCGCTTGACTGACGGCGCAGCCTCCGGGCCTCGCCACAGCAGCAACGGCAGAGGCCAGCGGGCGAGGTCAAGATGGTGGCTCCGCGGGCGGGGGAGGCGGTGGAGGGAGGAGGAGTCAGACCTTAGCTTGCCGGAAACACCGAAACCCAGAGACCTCCTGGGGAGCCGCCGCTGCCGCCCTCTCGGCCGTAGCTGCCTCCGCCGCCTGCTCCACTTCGAGGGACGCGAGCGGGCGGCGGGGCGGGCCGTGAGAGAGACAGGAGAAGAAGGAGCGCAGGGGCGGAGTTGCCCGCCTTAGCCCCTGCCCCCGGCCGCGGCCCCGGGCCCTGCCCCGCGTGGCCCTGCCCGGCCCGCCCAGCCCCGGTGTGGCAGCGGCTCATGGCGGCGGTGGGGGCCCCGCAGCAGCAGGTGCGGATGGCCCATCAGCAGGTCTGGGCGGCGCTCGAAGTGGCGCTCAGGGTGCCCTGCCTTTACATCATCGACGCCATCTTCAACTCCTACCCCGATTCCAGCCAAAGCCGGTTCTGCATCGTGCTCCAGATCTTCCTCCGGCTCCTTGGTAAGGGAACAGGGTACCCTGCGTCCCGGGACCGCTCTGCGGGCCGAGATGTGCCCCGAGGAGCGGGCAGGCGTGCGAGGCCATGGGTCGAGTATGTGCCTTTGGAAACTACAGTTTCATCTCTGAAAGGGTCGTCTTTACGGGGTGGGAGGGGGAAGGAGATGATACTTGTCTGAGTTGACAGCGGAGCAGTCCCCCTAGCGAGGACTCAGTGTTGTACCTCAGTGAGAGGGGGAGAAAGCAAGAATGCGTGGGCATGCAGCTCTTTGCCCGTTTCTCTTGGGAAATGAGTACTGGCTTACCGCGTCCTATGCGACAGCCTTCGAAAAAACAACTGTATCCCAGGCTCGTCGTGTGTGACCTTGGACTTCTGCCAAGGCGTGGGCCTCAGTTTCCCTTTATTACAAAATGCAGAGTACTTGTATATTGTCACTTCTGCTGCACCCAAGGGTCCACAGGATCGTGAAGTGTCTGCAGTAAATGACATCCAAGCGAAGGAGACAGGGTTTCGAATGTCAGACCTTGAAACCATTACCAAAAATTCTCATGAAAGCGCGATGCTAAAATTTTCCATGAATAAACGAGAAGGTATTGAAGATGACTGTAAAAAGTGATGAGCCATTTGCCAAAGAAACGTCTGAAAATAATTCTTTGTTTCGTATGGATGGTGTGTTAAAAGTATCTTATATTTCATTTCTTCCTCTCCATCTTCACTTACATCATCAGAGTGCGATGCATTTATGCGTAAAATAATTTTTTAAGTAATTGCAACCTGGCAATTTTTGTTGATGAGGTAATTCTGGTGATCGGTCTTAAGTAGGCTAGTGCTTTTGAAGTGTTGCTGAGGGCAGACTGAGGGTGAGATCTTTACCAAGCCTTTCTGAATTACAAGCCATCTGTTGCTTTTATTCTTTCAAAAGAGGAGTGGCAATAAAGGCCGAATTTTGTTCTTAGCAATAAATAGCCATATTTTACATTTCTCTGGTACTTTCCTTTTGCAAAACATTTTCACTGGTATTATCTAACCTAACCTTCAAACATCCCCCAGAGGTGGGTGGTGGTATTCTCATTTTACAAACCAGGAAACAGGGTCATAGAGGTTAAGTGTTGCTCTTGGTAGGCAGCCGGTAAGTGGTTGCCAGAGCCTGGGGCTTAAAAATCTTTTGACATTAAGTATGGTTTACTTTTCTCCCTAACAGCTGCAGTCCAGATACAGAATGCTATAGTAATGATCATATGCTAGATCTTAAAACTAAAGATGTGAACGTGATGTTCAGCTCAAGCTGCTTGTAATCCACCGGCTACCTGATTCCAGCTGCTCCTACTTGCCACTGCTAACGTATACCACCACCACAATTTGTGTTAAAAATTGGGCTCTGTTTGAGAGGATTCTGCATATTCAGCCCAGAAATAGTGTAGTGACTGCTTTGAATATTCTTACAGCATGATGACTGCAGATTCTCTGAGAATCCCTTTGGGACCTGGTGCTTTAATGCAATACTCTGTTGAGCTTCAGGCTAGGCAGCTTCAAGGAAAAGAAGTATTTTCTTTAATTAAATAATTTGTAGTTTGAGAACATTGAACGAAGTAATCTGGTATTTTCCTTGTACTAGCCATGCTTCTTTTGTAATAAGTCTTGAAAGTTTGTGTTTGACGGTTTAAAGAAGGGCGTGACTTAAGGCGACTGCTCAGTGCTTTGGTTTATTTTTGCCTTTTAAAAAAATGGACAATGATGACATCTGTTTCATAGGGTGTTAAAGACAATAAAACTATTTTAATGCTTCATTTAATACCATATTTTGTTAGATATTTTGGTCTTTTGAAATCATCAGCAAAGTATTGGTGCTGTTTATTTGAAAATTTTGATCCCAGAATCTCTGGATCAGACTTTGAGAAATACAAAATATTTTTCAGATCTATCATCTGACTCTTCTTATATTATGTCATGTAATTATGCTAATTTTTCATATTTGTAAGGATGATAAGAATGAAAAAAACTGGTTTTGGTGCTAAAAAATTATATGTTACTAAAAGACACAGGTTTGTGTGTAAAATATGCCAATGGATAGTTGAAATTAATCGTTCTGCCTTGTTAGTTTTTTTGTAGTTGTAGACTTCTCAGTACTACTGTGTATAAGTCTTACCACTTGTCAACCTCACCCTTTTCTTTAAAATTAATGTGTAAAAATGGAAATCTCTCTCTTAAGTAAAAAGCATTACCAGTTTTATGTATGGTGGTAGAAGTATTTACTCCCTTCTACCTACAAAGTGGTGCTACAACTGTACCTTCATTTGATATCAAAACTAATTTGAGATTTCAACCGGTTGGAAAATAAAGCAACTCATTTTGGAGATCCAAATAAAATTCTATGACAATATATAGAATATTTAAGAACATAAAGCCATGTCTTAAGGGGTGTTAAATACTAAATGAAACTCAACCCAGAGCAGCATAATGCTGAGTTAGCAAATTTAAATTTTTAACCAAGGCAGAAAATGCAAGCCTAGGAGTTTGTTTTAATAGTATTACTCATGGTGATAATTCATTGAGGTGGGAAAAGTCTTTAAACATAACAGCAAACCCAGAAGTTCCAAGGAAAAATCTGATAAATTTCAGTACATAAAAATGAAAAGCTTTTTTTATGGCAAAACTTTAAAAATCTTTAAATGACAAACTGAGAGAAAATACTTGTATCATAAGTGATTGACGTTCTAGTAAGCGTTTTACTCTGCCAGGGAAGTTGAGGCAGGAGAATCACTTGAACCAGGGAGTTGCAAGTTGCAGTGAGCCGAGATCGCGCCACTGCACTCCAGCCTGGCGACAGAGCGAGACTGTCTAAAAAAAACAAAACAAGAAAAAACTTATACTCCCTTAGGAAAATCCCTAAGACAAGCAATTCACAATTAACAAAATGCAGATGTTCAATAAGCAAGAGAAAAAGTATTTAGCCCTTCCTGCAGGAGCTTGATTTTATGGGGGGAAAAAAAGGACTTAGCCTTTCTTATAGTTAAATACAGTCAAGACCAGGTATGGTGGATCACACCTGTAATCCCAGCACTTTGGGAGGCCGAGGCGGGCAGATCGCTTGAGGCCAGGAGTTTGACACCAGCCTGGCCAAATGGCGCAACCGGTGTCTACCAAAATATTAGCCGGGCGCAGTGACTCCTGCCCGTAGTCGCAGCTACTCTGGAGGCTGAGGCACGAGAATCACTTGAACCGGGGAGGTGGAGGTTGCAGTGAGCCAAGATCGTCCCACTGCACTCCAGCCTGGGTAATAGAGCGAGACTGTCTCAAAAAAAAAAAAAAAGTCAAAAAAAATTTATCAGATTGGTGAAAAGTTCAAAGTTTTGCAAAGGCATTTACCTTTTTGAACTAGGTAAATTTATACAATTTTGGAAGACTCTTTTTTTTTTTTTTTTTTTGAGACGGAGTTTCACTCTTGTTGCCCAGGCCGGAGTGCAATGGCGCGATCTCGGCTCATCACAACCTCCGCCTCCCCGGTTCCGGCGATTCTCTGGCCTCAGCCTCCGGAGTAGCTGGGATTACAGGCAAGTGCCACCACCCCCGGCTAATTTTTTTTTTCTAGTTTTAGTAGAGACGGGGTTTCTCCATGTTGGTCAGTCTGGTCTTCAACTCCCGACCTCGGGTGATCTGCCCTCCTCGGTCTCCCAAAGTGCTGGGATTACAGGCGTGAGCCACCGTGCCCGGCCCGGAAAACTGTTAATATCAGTGTAAAACTATTTGGCACTATCAACTGTCATTTACAACTGACTTTTTTGTTTGTTTTGTTTTAAAGACAGAGTCTCGCTCTGTCATCAAGGCTGGAGTGCAGTGGCGTGATCTCGGCTCACTGCAACCTCCACCTCCCAGGTTCAAGCGATTCTCTTGCCTCAGCCTCCGGAGTAGCTGGGATGCCTGGCTCGTACAACTTTGGACTCACAATTTCAATTCTAGGGAATTGGCCTAGAGATATAGTTGTACAAAAGGACTATGGGCAAACACTACTGGAAATAACAAAGCAACAAACTTAATCTAAATATGTATTGATGCAAATCTGTTCATTGTATTAGGTCCAGCCATGCAATAAAGTTCTTGAAAGGAATGAGATAGCTATTTTTGGTGCTGAAAAAGACCTCAGAAAACCTATGAAGTGAAAAAACAAAGCCGAAGTAATTATAACTGGCAGAGGAATAGACAGAGATTTCTCAACAGTTGCAGTATTGACATTTTGGACAGGATAATTCTTTGTTTGCGGATGAGAGCTCTTCTGAATGCACTGTAAGATTTTTAGCAGCGTCCCTTTCCCCTGCCCATTAGATGCAGGAGCACCTTGCACCCCAACAACCCAATGTGACAGCCAGAGCTGTCGCTAGATATTGCCAAATCCTGGTTGAGAACCACTGGGATAGACAAATAGATTAGTACTTAGCCTTATTTATAATTAAATACATAGCCCAGAAACAGACACAAATGTATATATAGATATAATGTGTTTCAGAGAAAGAATTGAAGTACCTTGAGGTAAACATGGACTGTTGAATTAATGATCATTTTGTTACACCTTTGGAAATAAATTATACTAGATGTCTACCTCATGTCAATATATAAACAGTCACTTCTAGACTGGGCAGTGTAGTGAGACCCTGTCTCTGCAAAAATAAAAGTTTAAAAAAATAGCCATACTTGGCGGTGGGCGCCTGTAGTCCCATCTACTCAGGAGGCTGGGGTGAGAAGATCGCTTGGGCCCAGGAGTTCAAGGCTGCAGTGAGCTATGATTGCATAACGGCACTCCAGCCTGGGTGGCAGACAAGACCCTGTCTCTTAAAAAAAAAAAAGTCATTTCTAAGTGTATTCTTACCTAGATGTATATGTAAATATGAAATGAAGAACTTTAAATTTTTAGAAAAAAATATGGAATATCTTATTTTTCCAATCTTAGATTAAGGGAGAAATTCTGTAAAAATATATAAAAGCAAATACATAATGAAGATTGATAAAC